GGTGAGCCCGAACTGTGACGAATAAAACATTCAGGGCCGGTTTCACCAACCTAACTAAAGTTAAGCTTAAGTTATAGTTTAGAAAAAGCTTAGCTAAGATCAATTTAAGATTTTGCTCAAATTTCAGTTTCACAATTCACACTTAAGTATAGAAATTCAGGCAGGTTCTTACATTCACTTCCGAGTGAATTTGAGTCGGATTTGCGTTCAATTCAAATTGAAGGGTTGAAATTCACTCGGAAGTGAATTGCAGAACCTGCCTGATTATTTCATTCTGAAATATGGTAGCACCGCAGCGAAAGGCTTTTCTACGTACTTTCGAACATCGTACAGTTCCATAAGTAAAGTAACTCTTCTACCGTTTTTCCTGGCAGGCTGTAGATGTGTTTTTGGTTAGTGTATTGGTGTTTTTGGTTCAATGTGTTAGTGTATTTTAAATTAATTGTGATGGAAATTTAAAAAAAATTGCAATAGAAATGAAAGAAATTGTAAAAGTAAGAGCAAATGACAAAAAATAGGTGACCTCAGCTGTATGCATGTTTCGGCAATCAGCTGATATGTTTTTACTTAGGAAGGTGTACGATGCTTTTGAATCTATCCAAATCATAAATCATCTCTTTTGGCAATCTTAATCATAGATTCTATCGCGTATTCCTCGGACTAATGCCTTGGTTATAATGGCCGGGGCGAATAGTAACAAATCGCGGCGAATTCGTAAGGATCTATTGATTTTAGATTGTTCCGTTTTACGTTACGTTTACGTGCATTACAACCATTTGCATTCATTTCCCATACAATAGATAATTAAGTGAAAGTTCACTCCGTTCCGTAACTTCCATTATAACCCAGGCATAAATCTAGGAAATATGTCAAAAAATAAAAATTCGCTCAGTACGAGAGAGTAGCACTGAAAAATACCGGATCGCTTTCTAGTAAAAAGGGTAACTTCTGACAACTTCGACATAACCTTCAAATTTTGCTTATTTTGCAAGTAACCATACTCAGCTCACACATGTAAATAACTAACAAGTAGTTGAATATTTGATAACATGCAAAAGCCAAGTACACTTCATTTGTTTACAATTTGGTTGTCAAACACACTTTAGTTGATCGTTTGACACATTTAACAGTAAAAAAATCTTCGGACTAAAACTGGTGACTGCTGACAAAGAGAAGGCCTTATTTGCTATCTTATTTTTCTCCCAGTTGCCAGAGAACCGAGTACGATATCGATTTGCAGTCACATCTGGTTAATTCTGATAAAAAAATTTTAAATTCTGTCTCATACGGATTCACAACTAATCTGCCTTATCCTGAGTTTCACCCGAAAAAAAATTCACCCGAAAATTTGTAATCTGCCCATAGTAAATATATGGAAATAAAAAGTGAACCAGTTCGGGGAAAATGAAACTCATGATAAGACTGAATATTTTATACTTCCATTCACTGTTTTCGTTGATACTCCATAACTTAAATATACTTTTTAAAAACACTTCATTTTTCACAATCTCTTATCCTCAGTTTCGCGTGAAAAAAAATTCACCCGAAAATTTGTCATACCCCCATAGTAAAACCATGGAAACCAAAAGTGAACCTAAGAACTAAGTCGCCATTATTCGTGACTTAAGTTGCACTATGAGTGGATGAAAAATTTCCGGGTTATTTTTTTTTCGGGCGAAACGGCGTAAGGCAGATAAATTTGTATTTAATCATTGTAAATTTTTTCATCCGCCCTTAGTGAATACATATAAGTAAAAATTTAGCGATTTCGGGCGAAAATTAAACTCACGATAGGGCTGAATATTTTTAAAGAAGTTTTTAATCTTAATTTTTGTTGTCATCTGGACTATAAATTTTTCACCTCATTTTCGCTCTTAATATATTTATTGGACCCATCTGGCAGCGCTCTATTTCGCACACGACACCGAAGGACTGCTGCGAATTTGTTCAACCGTAGAGAAAGGTATGGAATATTCTGCAATTTTTTGCTTCTAAAAAATGTAAAAATACGAAAATCCATATAAAAACCATATTGAAGGTCTGCAGAAAGCAAAAAATTTAAAAAAGTGTGGAAAAGTTGTGAAATTTTGTTGAAATAGTGAAAATAAGGTCGTCTTGGGGGAAGTGAACGAGCAAAAAGTGTTCAGACGAAAAAAAGAGATACGAAATACTACCGTAAGCAGATGAGTCCCCTATGCGGCGAGAGCGAGCAAGAAGGCAAGAACGAGAATTGGATTAAATAGAGAAATCGTCTGGTTGGATAAGAAAAACAAAAAAGGCAAATCAACAAATATATAAAAAGAAATACAAAATGTTGAAAAAAAAAAACAAATTCGACTACGAATGCCACAACAAAGTAAAATAATAAAATATGGTAGAGCAGAAATTACGAGCTGGTGAAAAAACGTAGAAATGGTGACCACAAGTAAAAAATAAGCAAAAGTCTGGTGTTGCGAAGAAAATTATGATATACAAATTAAAATTTACTTTCTAATATATATAGGATTTTGTTTTGTAGGTTTAAGAAGTGAGGAGACTAACGCATAGCTTTTGAACGCTGTAACAGTTGAGTACCGATATATGCCATTAAAATGGAAATTCGGGCAAGTGGGTTGTGGGTTCTGCAATAAGAAGCTCAAAGACCTTAAATGGTATACTAATTTAGTGATTAGACATACATATTACCACTAATCTACAAATAGTTACAAGAAAACTGTGCTTGAAACATAGCTACTGCGTATAAAGCTGTGAAAAGCTAAATCGCGCTGCGGGCGCCAGATGAGTGGGTGCAAATATGTGCGTATTTCACCATCAAATTTCCGGCCTTTACTCGGTGCTTTGTTATATATGACGCGGTTTGTACTGCGCCGAACTGTGTTAAGTTGTTGCTGTTGAAGCACCGAAAATCATATTTTATGACCACAAAAGTAGCTCCAAGATTTCCGTGTCTATAAGTAAACTGTTGCATAAAAAACGGCAAACACCCATGTCAGCGCAAGTTTACTTAAAATACATATTTTAAAAATCGTATGTTGAAAATTGTATTAACCGACTGATTTTTACCTTTCTTCTATTTGCAGTGTAAAAATATGCATTTCAAGATGTCGTAATTAAGTAGGATATGGATGCTGCATCAGAACTTAAAATTAATCCGACAACAAAAAATTTAATAACATTGTAAAATAGATTTGTATAATAATCAACACTTCATATACCTACATCATATATCTTAAATCACGTCAGTGCACAATAACAAAAACTATCATAAAAAACATAATAAAGCATAATAATTTCTGTAAAAAAATACATAAAAATAAAGAAAAAAATGACCGAGAAAGAAATGCAAGCACACGATTTCGTGCGGCGGCGTAACTGGTCGCGTGCCGTTTCGCTCTACGACCAAATTTTAGCGCAAATCTCGGCAGCTGCTGCCGCCGCCACAATCGCCTCCGCCAATGGCAACAACACCGCGGGTAGTAACAATAATGCAGCATTGGCGCGTTCTCAAAAAGATCGGCAAATTGCCTGTCTATTGGGCCGTTGCGAATGCATGCTAGAGCTGAACCGCTATGAGCAGTGCCTCTCTGATGCGCGCAAAGTGCTGGCACTGCTTGCTGATCAGTCGGCGGATTGCTTGGCAAGTGTATCACGTGCGCGCCGTTGGCTCGTACATGCGCTATGCAAGCTGAAAAAATACAATGTAAGCAAGATTTTTGTATCTTAACAATTCTAAGTTCTAAAGTAAGATATTTTTCTCCTTTTTGCTTTTATGTAGGAAGCTGAGCAACTGCTGCGCGAGTGGATCGGCGAATTGAGCGGCCAACAAAGTTTTTTAGATATTTCCAAAACACTGGAACGATACAAATCGATCATTCAAATGATTAACGGGCACAAGTCCACACAGAAGATCTCACAATCGCGTCTTGAAGACGAAATGTCCATATTGGATACAAAACTTGATCATTGGGCTACTAATAATCTGCCTTTGGACAAGTATAGCAAGTTGCTGAGTAACAAAGGACTGAAGAAGACGCGTGAGGGTGGCAGCGAACGCGGTGGCGGTGATGGTCGTGGTAACGGTGGCAATAACTCTAATAATATTGGAGGCCCTGGTCAACATAATGGCTCTCTAGGTAGCGGTGGTGGCAGCAGTAGTATAAGTAGTAGTAGCAGTAGTGGAAGTGGCAGTTCTACAACGATACTGCAAAAGACAACCGATCTGTTGGCCGCGATAAAAGTGACTGGCGGCAAGCATGGCATACCAAATATAGGTGTAGCCGCCGAAGAGAATGACAATGCCACTTACTGTTCCTACTGTGCTATTAGTTTTGAAACACGTAATGAATTGCGGCAACATTGCCAAACTGAACGCCATCAGAATGTCATCATGTCGTACGAGGGTAAGTCTGTACATGTATTGATTTTGATTGTGATATTTACTAGGCATTGTTTCTATCTCATATTATCAGGACGCGATTGGAAGTGGAGGCCACCACCTCGCGGCTACACATTGGATTCATACAGCTTGTGCGAGGCGTACCAAGAATCACAGACGTGCCATTATGGCAATCAATGTGTTGAAGCGCACGGACAGGACGAACTAAATGAGTGGAAAGAACGCTTCGAGTATAGGCGTATGCGTCTGCAGAAAGCCAGTGAAAAGGAGCTCTATGGCAAGTCGTATACAGAACAAATATTAGACCGGTGGATACAAGCTACGGCACCCGAGCGCATAATGTGTGAGAAAGTAGATGGCGTGGAAGTACGTTGCGAACAAGAATTGGTAACGAGCATCAGTTCGAAAAGCTCGAAACGTGAATGGATTTTTGTGTTGAAGTCATCTCGCGTATTGCGGGCCGTTGCATTGTTGCAAGATGCACATCGCAATCATTTCGCCATCACAGGCATTAAAGTGGACAGTGCGGCGACTATTTTCGATCTAAAATCTAATCAAGAATGGGTATCTGCAACTCATAAGGTGTCGCCAGGTGGAAAAGATTCAATGAAACCAGGAGGAGAGTTCAACGATACAACGCTGTCGGGGCATATCAATGCGACAACTGATGTGCAAACCTCAATGCTGGAACACAAAGTGACTATAGAATTCCACACAGATATCTATGGTACTTTTCGCCAAACGGTATGCTTTGACTTGGGCACCGAGCCATTGCTTGTGCAACAACTTTGTGTCGATGTAGTACCCGTTGGTGATGCCGAGCGGATTGAGGAGATAAAACGCGACATCATCAACAGTTCGGTAACACGTTGGGATATATCCAATACGAATTTAGTAAAATTCGAGACCACCATTGGTACACATCTGAAGACTGAAGCCTATTTGAATGATCTGAAGCACGAAAAAGAGATGCTCGAACGGTATCCTTGCCCACGCGCGCAAACATTCACGTTGACGCAGTCTACTATTGTTGAGAAGCGTCTCACTCAGCATAACTATCGATCTCGCATACATGAATTACTGTATGTGGAAGAGATTGCACGTTACGAGCAAATTGCGCGCTACAACGTGCGCACAAAACTGACTGTGACATCCAATTATATACTGACGCCAGCGGGCATGGCCACTAGCACAGCTAAATTTTCACTTACGGGTGAATTATTTGCATTAATGCGGCTGGGTAAAGACATTTCGGAAGATACATCAGCTGGACGTTTGATACTGTCAAATTGCTCTAGCGTTTATATAAGTGCTCCCGAAGAACTGCACGTACTAAAGGATCGGAAACGCAATGTTTATGAGGCCACCATCGAAGATAAGGGCAAGAATGTGATCTATCTAAAACTATCCGCCAAATGTGTGGATGGCATGAATTTGAAGGCTGACACCGAAATCGAAGTAGACATACAATTTCAACTGAATCGCTTGCCGTACTGTGAATGGCACAATGCAGTTGATAAAATAACTGATTTCAAGATAATATTTCCTGCCACAGAAATTGAACCGAACATACCGTGGACACCAAAAAAGCAGTGGTCGGATGCTTGTGAGCCAAAGTTAAATGCGAAACAACGCGAGGCCGTTAATGCCATCACTACATCTCTAAGCATTAAACTGCCGCCCATTTTACTGATCGGTCCATTTGGCACTGGTAAAACATATACGCTTGCGCAAGCGATAAAGCAGCTTTTAACGCAACCTGAAGCAAAGATTTTAATATGTACGCACTCGAATTCAGCGGCTGACTTGTATATTAAAGAATATTTGCATCCGTGGATTGAACAGGGCTTAGAGGAGGCAACACCTTTGCGTGTGTACTACCACAAACGTTGGGTTGCTACCGTAAACAGCGTGGTGCAGAAGGTAAGTTGGGGGGAGTGATATTAAAACGTACTATTTCTGCGGGTTAGGAATGACTTTGGTTATAGCTGACCAAGAGCCTAGGCAGACGCTATCTCTGCCTTGTACAAGACCTTTAGGCTGGGTTACTCCAAATCCTTCTCCTACGGGAATCCTCTCCGCTTACACATCTCGAAGCTTCCTCTTCCATATGAGGGAGTTTCACTGCTCTGATTCGAGAGAAGCGGGAACTGAAGACTTGACGTTTCGCCTCTGGTGTGGGTAAGCTTTAGTAAACCGTGATATACACTCGGGGGGACCGTGACCTTAATTGAAATCCTCCTGTGAGGCGACTGTCTTAGTAGTGTTGGATTTGGCAAAGGCCTCCCTTACAAAGTTGCGCCCGCAACGAAACACTCTCGAGATACACGCTTATCTCTGGCGCAACAGTGTTAGCAGCAGGCTAAAATCCTACTTATCCAGACGCGATGGGTTTAAAATTCTTGACAAAGAAACCTAAAATTTTCGATTGATTTATAATAAAAAGTTCTCTCAACCTTGTTTTTATCATGCTCTTAACTCTTCTTTCATCTTCTCTTTCACAGTACTGCATAACGGACGGCGCCGGTAATTTTCGTCGGCCCTCTGTGGAGGATATCAAAAAACATCGAATAGTTGTAGTAACTCTCAGTATATCCATGGAACTTGCCAATCTCGGCCTACCCAAAGGCTACTTCACACACATCTTTCTCGACGAAGCCGCACAGGCTATGGAATGCGAGGCCATCATGCCTTTAGCGCTGGCTAACGACAGCACACGCATTGTCTTGGCCGGTGATCACATGCAAATGAGCCCTGAACTATTCTCTGCCTTTGCAAAGGAGCGCAAGCTGCATATTTCGCTGCTCGAACGTCTATACGATCATTATCCCTCAAATTTTCCATGCAAAATATTGCTTTGTGAGAACTATCGCGCCCATGAAGCCATTATTAAATTTACATCTGAACTGTTTTACGAACAAAAACTAATCGCTTCCGGCAAGCAACCACGTCACGAGCGTTTCTATCCGCTGACGTTTTTCACCACGCGGGGTGAAGATGTCCAGGATAAGAATTCAACAGCATTTTACAACAACGCTGAGGTGTATGAGGTAGTAGAACGCGTGTCGGAGCTTCGTCGCAAATGGCCCATCGCTTGGGGTAAGGTAAACGATGCCAGCATCGGTATAATGACGCCCTACGCCGACCAGGTGTTTCGCATACGTTCAGAGCTGCGCAAGCGCCGCATGGGCGGCATATCTGTGGAACGAGTACTCAACGTGCAGGGCAAACAATTTCGCGCTGTCTTCCTTTCTACTGTGCGTACGCGCGCCACTTGCTTGCCGCAAATGATGAACGCCCTTGTCGGACCTGCCGGCATGCATCCAGGCATGGGCGGCGGTCCCATGAGCGCGCTGGGTAGCGTGCCTGCAGAAGATACGGACTTCGGTTTCCTAAGCAACTCCAAGCTGCTAAATACTGCGATTACACGCGCACAGAGTTTGGTCGCTGTGGTTGGCGATCCAGTGGCGCTCTGTTCGATCGGGCGCTGTCGCAAGGTATGGGAGCGATTTATCGAAATATGTGACGAGAACAAATCGTTATTTGGCATCACGTGGTCGTACTTGCGCTCGCAATTGGACGGTGTAGAATTGAAGCGCGGTTATGTGTTGAATCCGCTAGCGCCCGAATTTATACCGCGCGCCATGCAACCTGAAGCGTATTTGCGCGATCAAACAGCCATGTACTTGATGGGTGCTGCGGCTGCTAACGCTAGCAATCATCACGGTGCACCACATCCCGGAGCGGGTCCCCATCATCCAGGAGGTCCATTGCCGCCACACGCTGCCGGTATGTTGGCCGCTGCGGCTGCGGCAGGCGCTGGCGGCGGCCCAGGTGGTACGCAAATGCAACCGCATCACGCCGCCATGGCCGCCGCCGCCAACCATCAACAACAAATGCAAATGCAGATGTACGCGCAGCATCCTGCCGCTGCAGCAGCCTACAACGCAGCCGCAGCCGCGGCAGTCATGATGAATCAGAGCATGGCCGCTGGAAAAGGTGGTGCTAGTGGACATCATTTCCCTGGCCCCGGACACGGACCGAACCACATGAATATGCGCGCGATGGGACCACATCAGCCAGGTGGCCCTCAGCAACAACCAGGGCCGCCGCCTTCGGGACCGCTGGGACAGCAGTATAATATGCGTGGGCCCCCGCCGCCACCATCTGCCGTGCATTTACCACAACCGCCACCACCCGGTACCACTGGTCCGCCGTCACAATTCGCCGCACAGTACATGCCGTGGCAACAAGCACAACAACTTCGTGGTGGCCCACCAGGCAGCGGTGGTACAGGAGGTAACTATCCACCACCGGGTGCACAGCAGCAAGGACCTCCACAATCACAAAATCCGAACGCTAGTCTGTGGGGACCGCCACCGCAGTCGAATCCGTGGAGCGCGCTGCCTAACAAGCAAGCACAGATGCCGCCACAACCGCCGCCAAACAGTATTGGTGCCGGCGGAGGAGCACGTCAAATGGGGCCACCGCCACCTAATTCACAGCAACAACAGCAGTCGGGCGCGGGAATGCGTGGCGGTAGCGTGCCACTACAACCACCACCGCCTAACGCGCAACAGCTACGGGCCAACTCGAATGACATGGGTTATTTGACGAAGAAGGGTTATGGGCCGCATGGCGCACCGATTGGACCACAGCAGCAGCCGCCACCACCGCATGGCTCTTTTGGAGCGTACGTTGGTGGCAACGCGCCACCTCCACCGCCCAGCCAATTACAATTGTTGAATCAACGCAATTTGGGCGGAGGCATGCCAAATGGGCCCATAAGTCCACTTGATCCATATATGCAGCGAGGACAGGGAGGGGGCAGCGCTCAGGCCGGTGCACCGCAATCATCAACAAACTTCTTTGGTGGAGCTGGCGGTGTGAATAACATCTCTGCTCTGGGTAAGGATAGCAAAGACTTCCAGTTTCTTAACAATGTGCATATGCCGCAACTGAATTTAGGCGGCAGCGGCGGTGGCGGCAGCAGTGCTGGCGCCAATAATCTTTTCCAACCTCCGGGCGCTTTGCAGCCACCGGCGCCAGGCAACAACAAACAGCAATCGCCTTCAGCGCCGCGCTTCCCCCAACCGCAGGAGTATGCAGCGCTACTGCCACCAAATATGAGCATATATGACATGGCATTCGAGCCGAAGGAATCGCAATACAAGTGGTGCCTCAAGTTGCTCGAAACACACGGCCAAGAAGCGGTCAACAAATTCACCGAGGGTCTGGGACAAGTCTTGAATATGCTCAACCAACAACAACAGCAACAACAGCATGCCCAACAACTAAACGCACGTGGCCCACAAATGCAGCCACCACCACCGCCGCCACATCTGAATGTCAACCAACTATTGCCGCGGGACCTAATGCAGCAATATATGCTGCCCGCTTTGATGGGGGGTGGCAATAGCGGTGTGGGACCGCAGCCACCTATGCAACAGCAGCAACAACAACAACATCAGCAGCAGCAACGCAACAGCCTAATAGGTAGCGGCATGCATCACACATACCCCATGAACCCGTTGGCGGCCGCTGCTTTGAGCAACCAGCAAGGACCACAACAGCAGCCACCGCCGCCACCTTCTTTACTTCCGCCGCCCACAGACGAGACACCGCCTCTGGATGGCATAAATTTCAATCAGCAAATTGATTTGGCCTTTAACACACTGTTGAATGGGAACAACGCACAGCCAATATTGCGCAATCTCTTCAGCAACACTAGCAGTCGCGGTACAAACGCCAACAGTCTAATGAATGGTGGTGATTTTCTGCTACCGTCCAGCACGTCGACATCTTCATTGGTCAGCACCAGCACTTCGGCATCTGGCGGTGGATTGAGTGGCGGTCTTGAGCCGCCTGCACAGCAACAGCAAATGAAGCTGTTCCCTGGCTTAGGTGGTGGCGGCGGCGGCAGCGGCGTTGGTGATTTGGGCGGTGGAAACATTTTGGTTTCGGCATTACAGCAGCCGTTGTTAAACAGCATGCAAAAGGGGCCGTTGTTTGCGCCCATGCCACATCAGCAGCAGCAACAACAACAGCACATGCATAGCCAGCCGCCGACACAGCAACAACAGCCCCCAGTTGGTGGTAGTTTCTTGGGAGGAAGTGAGTATATATTCATTTCATTTATGTGATTTTTCCATATTTTTTTCATGCGGATTACGAAAAAATTTAACATTTCAACCAACATTACGTAGGCGGAATTTACCAAATTCGTTAGAAAATTAAAACTTGTGATAGTTGATTTTACGTAAAAAACAATTCAAAATAAAAACAGAAATCGTTTCTATCGAAATTTCGAAATTCGTACATAAAACTTATAATAGGTACGGTTGCAATATCCGATATTAGTTCAAAAGTTACAAATTAGAATCAAAAGTCATCCCTACCATAACTTCAAAATTCGAGCACGAGGCATTGGATAGTCATAATTAGTACAATTGTATAAACTTATCCTAAATCTTAACTTGAATCATGTGTACTGTTTTTGATAGGCGATATTAGTTAAAAAAAAATATATTAAAAAAAAAAACCGAAGTGCACATAGCCGATTTTCAACAATAAAACAAAATGTGTTTCCGAATAACGGAAATTTCTAAATTCGAAATTCGAACTGAAACATTTGTATTCGTATGTTACATTTGATAGCCGATATTATTGAATACAAAAAAAAAAAAACAAAGTAAAAACAGAAATCATCCCTACTGATATTTCGAAATTAGAGTATGAAATGTATCTATTTCTGAATAATCAAAATTAGTTTAAAACAAACCACTTTGGGTTTATGAACCATCCTACAGAAATTTTGAAGCTGATATCATTATTCAGGTTCAAAATTTTCGGAAGTTGAACATGGAACATAAAGTAATTTTATGAATGATTGGAATACGTATCTAAGCTCGCAAATTGCTGCTTTGAAACAAAAATCATCCCTACTAATATATCGGAATTCGGACTTGAAACATAAAGGCTGCGTTTCTTTATACATTCCGGATAATCCCATTTCACAGCCGGAATAAACAGAATGCGTTTGAAATAGACGTCAACATATCAACAAGAACGTTCTAAAGAATAAATAAAGAAAAAAGTTTATTCCAAACGTTCAGACTGAATAAAGAAATGCAGCCAAAGTATGATTTTTGATAATCGAAATAAGTTCACAATTCGGCATTATAATCAAAAATTGGCAATATAAATTTACGAAATTTAAACTCTGAATTTTTTTTCGATATTTAACTTGGAAAAAAAACGATTTTGAACTTTGAAAGAAATTTTCCAAATTGAATTTAAAAGAAATTTTTGGAAAAATATCAACGATTTTGTAACCGTAATCATTAACTTAGTGCATAATATAATTTTTTTTTTTAATTTTCGAATCAGGTTAATAAACTAGATGTCCTTTATATCCATTAATTCTTCTTCTAATAAAAATTGAATTTCCCTCAGATTCCTTGTTAAATAGCAAAGACTACTTGCTGGGCGGCGATGACAGCCTATTGAGTGGTGGCTCAAGTGTGCCACTGTACCGACGTCAGGCAATGGGCAACGGCAGTTTGAACAACACTTTGAGTAACAGCATTAGTATGAGTGGCAACAGCGCTGGCGGGAATAGTCACAGCCACAGCCACAACAGCAATCACAGCAACTACAATAGTGTGAGTGGCCACAGTGGCACAGGTGGTGGAAGCAATGTAAGCGGCCATCTTTTGCCACCACCTGACAACATACTTACCGGAGGCACTACTGACATACTGGCCGGGTTGAATACAAGTGCAAGCAATCTGATCGAAGCGCTATTCCAAACAAACTCCACAACAAGTTCTGCCCCCAGCTCGGTATCGAATAACACAATTACAACGACAACTGGGCTAGAGCAGCAGCAACAACAACAGCAGCAGCAATCAAGCGGAGGCAGCAACAGCAGCTCATTTCAGAAGATGTTTAACAGCTATGACATTTACGGCTCGTCCGCAGCGACGGCGAAAAAAATATGAATTGGATTTGTTCATGCGCGATCATCAATTGGGAGTTGGTGCAGGTGGTAGCGGTGGCAGTGGCGTTGGCGGAGTCGGCACTGGTGGCAATGTTAGCGGTGGTAATAGTGGCGGTGGTGATGCACCACTTACCAATAATCATCACACGCATTACCACAATAACAATGCCGATAATCGCAATAGCACCACTTATGCAGCAGTGCTAAGCCAGGGTCAACATCACCAACAACAGCAACAGCAGCAACAACATCATCAGCAACAGCACCATCATCAGCAGCAGCAGCAACAACAGCATCACGCAGTACAGCAACAACAACATCACAACAATTTCCATCATCATCATCCATCACATCAAGCTGAACCGCCCACTAGTGGCGTGTCATCTGCCGCGTCTGGTGGTGGTGGTGTGGCTGCCGGCAGTGGTGGAAACGCTGGCAGTGGCGGTGGTGGCATTGAAGTAGAAAAGGACCTCTTTGCAGCCATACGCGAACTAGGTCAAGGCACGAATGGATTCTATAATTATTTTCAATAAGTCGACATTTGCGGCTAGCTGTTGCTGAACCGTTCCGCCGAGTTTATATTTTCATATTTTCTCTGGTAATAGCGATGATTTGTTGAATTGTTGCGTACAAGTTCAACACTGCTTCGTTTATATGCCGTAAGCATAAACGATATTCGCTGCACAGCGTCAGCGATATAATGTATGAGCGTTGAGGGTACGATGCGCGTTGTGATGCAAATGTTTTGCTGGTGCGCAGTCAGTGTGGTGGGTGGTTTAATTTTTCTTTTATCACAATTAAAACATATAAATATCTCATTCTTCTCCACCATTTACATTAAAATAATTTTCCATTTAGATAACTTTACCATTTTGCTTAGTTGCCAACATATGTAAGTAATTTCCAGCTACAGTACAATATTCCACCAGTCTTCTCTCATATTGTTCCCAAGTTATATCTGCTCATTTTTTATATGCATAACGCACCTTACTCGTCTTCCTTCCATCTCAGAGCAATTTCGCTATTAGTTATCATTGTATATGTATTTTTATTAGTAATTTTAAGTTTAGTTTATCGTTTTTCAATGAATGCGAGTATTAAGTTTATTATTTAGTTTAATTGTAAAGCCTAAGGCGAGGAGGGCATGAAAAAGAGATTAGAAGTTGCCGTTATGTTTTTCTTATTTTTGTTTTCGTGGGAATCTCACGCGGAGGAAATGTATTTAAAAGAAATAAAATAAAAAAAAAATCAAATTAAAAATTATTACTAACCGTGCATTTCTTTTCAAAAACCCGCAGATACATCTACGTAAGGGAACGACTTTTTTTTTTTAAATACTAGCACTTTTTTGTGCGTATTGAAACTTCTTTTGCCCCTTTTTCAACTTACCACCAATCTTTATGGTGGAGAGCCATTATCGACCTCAATCACTGAATTGTCTGACTCCTGTGCATATTTTGTAAACACGCGCTCGCCGCCCTTAATATCTAATAATACCTAGTTTGTAGTTTAAAATATTGCATATTACGTATATTATATACTTGAAAGAATAATAGCAACAAAAAAAAAAGAAAATGAAAAAAAAAACAGTTGAATTGTAGCAACGTATGGAAATTTTTTAAAGTAGCGCTGAGAGAATCGAGGTTAGCGGAAGTTGGTCAATGGCTGATGAGCTTTTGTACAGCGACAATTCTCGCTTTGCCCTCTTTTTGTCTACCACAATACATGCTATCTTATACATATATAAACATTTATGTATGTATAAATATATACTATATTGATGTATTTATAACTTTAAAAATAATAATATGAAATATACATAGTATATATAATAGTGTATATGTATTGAATGTGAAATAATTAAGTAAATATGTATTTAAATTAGTTTAGCATGATGACGTGGAAACACAAAACACACTTTCTATGCAAATAGAGCGAATGTGTATGTATTGTTAGTGCAGGCAGCGAACATGAGTAAAAACAGGCTTGCAAGTTTTTAAGTGGAGGTGGGATCGCGCGCGCAATAGAAGAGAAAAGTTGGCAGCGCTTTGAACGCTAGTTGTTGCGGGAGAAGTAGAAAGAAATTTGCTGCTGCTGGGAAGTCAATAAATAGTTGAATGTGTTGTGAGTTCCTTCTACTAGCACAAAATTCGTGGGGCGCGCCAGTTTTCCACTATTCGAATTCAGCACATAATCGAAACGCCTGTTGCAAATAAAGTTTTTTTTTTATTTTAGTTAGTCCAAAACATACCATCTCAGATAACAGCAGGCAAAGCAGGATTTCACAATACGTATTCAATCATTTTTGTTATCGAACTCGGATAATTTTTTTATATTCAAAATTTTGCATAAAAAGGTTGTAATGATTTTTTGTTTTATTAATTTACGGGACCAGATAATCTATACAAATTTTAAATCGCTGAATCAGAGTCTAAAGTCAGAAAACAAAAGTGGTTTTGTGTTTTATTTCTAATCTAGAAAAGCGTCAAATTCGGCAAATATAGCGCATTTTTTAAGATTATAAAGAAAAGGCAATAACAATTTTTCTATTTCGAAGTTAGATTTGACGTTAGCGATCTAAAATCTATGAAAATTGGCGAAATCCTATAAGAATAGTTCAAGTACGTAGCTCTACAAAACAAAATGTTTGGCCGTCGAAAAAAACTATTGTCAATTCTTGTCAGTTTCGTGTCGATGCATCAAAATCTGATGGTAAAATTAAACATTTACAGTGGTGGAAAAATAAATAGGGTAGCCAGTTTGGCTAATTTTCTTTTGATTTAAAATTTATTATTTGTTTCATAATGTTATAGCTCATTACCTATCAAAACCATATAAATTCATATTTCAATCTTTTTGAAAAAATTATAAAATTTCTGCAAGGTTGCATCTAAATTTTCAACTCTAATAAAATTTTTCAGAATATTTTTAGTATGCAGTTTTTTAGGCCATTCTAGTATAACACAGTGCAAGTTTGAAATTGCTAGAAAATCGCGTTGATATTTGACAATTTTTTAACGCATTTTCCTCCATACAAAGTATATTCGAAATTATTTTTTATATGGAAAAAATACGTCATACACTCAGAAAAAACTATTATCAAAATCAACGCGATCTTTTAGCAACTTCAAACTTGTACTTTATTGGACTATAAAAACGCGCACGCAAAAAAAGCCCTGATTAATAAGTTTTCGCACAATATGGTTTTTTGTTAGATAATGAGCTATACTTTTATAAAAAAAAACATAATAGATATTAAGTATTAAATATATAATCAAAAGAAAAATAGGCAAAATTTGTTCAAATGCCACGTCCCTATTTATTTTTCCACCACTGTATATAGCAGAATTGAATTCGAACTTCAAATTCAGACTCCCCGACCCAAAGCCGATAAGGATTGCCTACTTTCATTCAATTTTTTTCTAGCTGTGCTATATTTCCATCAATTACGCAACCCCTCAAAAACCAATTTTTTTGTTCGTTGAAAGGAAAATGGCTAATCCTTGCAGATTTTGTTTCCAATTTTTCCTCTTACCAAAAAATTTATCTGCTATCTGTACTATTTGTTGTGGGTTTTTTGAGGTTGTGAGAATGGAAGAAAACAAAACCAAACTCTTCGCATGGCGAAGAAGGCCAAACTCAGTTCTATTCGGATACAGTGACTCGAAACAGTGACTGCAATTTGGCACTCAACCACCCAAAGCTGCATTTACTTTCAAAAATTATTTATTTTGTTTATTATAATTTCGACTTTTTAATAATTTTTTTATTTTTTATTTTTTTCGCTGAAGTGTCATTTATAATCTTTGTGTATACTGCCTGCTCAAAGATTTCATTTTCGTCCGCCGCTCTTGCTCTAAGGAAAAAACTCAAAATTAACCTTGTAAACTCAAACACTTGGTCAGCTGTAAGAATTAGTGAGCGTTTCCTTTTTCACACTCCACCCGTTTGCCGCTTTAGCGCTTGTTCTTGTTGTGAAAACATGAAAAAACAAATTTACAAGGATTGTTGGAAAACCTATTCAGTGGTTTTATCTTTGCTCGCCTGTGCCGTTCCGGTGACGGAAGAACCGTCAGCGACCCTAGCTTTTCGCCTGCCTTGCCTACAATTACGTTTCAACGCGACAGGCGCAAACACTAATTAAGTAAAAAAAAAAATTGCAAAATCCTTATTGAGAATAAAAATTACAAAAAAAGAAGATATTTGTATTTAATTTCTAATTTAAAATTATAATAGTTTAATATTTATTTGCAAGTAACAATTCAGAATATTACAATACAAAAAAAAAAACATGTATATGATATAAAAATTATTTGAGGAAAAAAATAAAAATTAAAAAAATATGTAAAAAGTAGTAAACACCGGAGGGGGTCGAAATTTCTTAGCTGTAGTGCGAACAATTTCAAATATGGCATAACTAAACCGAAACTTACATAATAGAATAATTAAAATTTACCAATGCTAAGTGTGTAATGTAAAATTTAAAATTTAATACATAAGCGCAGATATAAATATACTACATATTTCAAATACATACATACATACATATTTACGCATAACTAAATTTAACAAAAAAAGAAAATATTTACGTTTTACGTGAAGACATTTTTTATAAATGTAAGTTTTTAACGTGTCGTCACTTGAATAAAAAAAGAAAGAAAATAAGTAGTTTTAAAAAGAAAAACTAGAACAAAAACAAAAATTACTAAAAACAAAAAAACGTAAAACAAAAGAAAAAGTAAAACAGAAAAAAACTGCAAAAACAAATATAAATTTGACACTTAAATAGGAAAGCAAAAACAAAAACGCAAAAAAAAAAAACAAAGGTAAAACGAAAACGGAGAACTGCTGTAAAATTTATACATACATACATAATTGATTACGCATAAGTGTAGCATAAATTTTCATAAACGTTTTCAACAAACATAAAAAAGAAAAAGAGTGTAAGCATTAATTGCGTAAAAGATTATAATGAAATATAACAGAAAAAAAACAAACAAAAAAATTTAAAATTGCTATGCAAATTATTGTTTAACTTGAATTAAAGGAAAAAGATTTTAGCGACTAGTTACTGAAAATATAATAAATAAATAAAAATAAAAAAGAAAGCGATTAAAATATGTCGGTATGCTAGTGTGCATATGAACAAAAAAATAAACATATATTTAAATGAAATGTTAATTACATTTGCAACTATGTTCTATATAAATATTTAATTATAAATGTAATATTAATTACTAATTTCTTTTATTAATTGTGCAGCGAATTTCAATAGAAACGCCTTGCTGGCCGCTGTTTCTTTTTTAATCGATAAACCACACACCGACACACACCCATACATACGGAACATGCACAGGCATATATAAATAAAAACAAACACTTTAATTATTATAAATATTACGTATATATGTATATGTACGCCAGCACATGCATTATTAATTAAATTTATGTAACACTCATAAAAAATATGATTTCTTATTTTTTATAATTACTCTTCTTATATTAAATGCGCTCCTTATTACATTTCTTACATTATCAATTAATTAATTAATGATTAATTGTAAAAAAGTATAACTCTTACTATCATTATTATTATTAGAAGCAAAATTAAAGAAAACTAATTAAATTAAAGATTTTTAAACTTATTATTGTCATTTGCTTAAAGTAAACGATTAAAGAACTAAAACTAGAACTAGTAAAAAAACGTGGAAATAATAAAAAAAAAACGAATATTCAAAGTAAAAAGCGGTCGTCAAGCGAAGAGTGCTGAGTACTGGACACAAGGGAAGGGGATTTTAGGCAAAACAAAATAATAATAGCAAAAAAATGTTTGCGTACTCTTGTTCCCATGCTAAATTACATTAAGGATGGGTTTTAGCAAACAACTCAATTCAAATAAAAAATGCAATATTAATTTTTTTAAACTTATGTACGTATGTTGCGTGGATTTTCACTTATTAAAGAATTACATTAGCAAATTTGGAACTGATTTTTTTTTTAATGTTAGAAAACGAATATTGGAATAGCTTGCGTTTTTATTGATAAAAAAAAACTACATTTAAAAATTCTAATGTAATTTTTAAAGAAATTCATTAATTCTATTTTGGCATGCTTTTAATGACTATCAAAATATTTCTGCTGTTGGACTCATACAATTTTTTATAACATTTTTTCAAACTATTTTAGAAAGTGTTTTTTAAGCAATTTATTTATTAATTTTTTAAGCATTTTATTTCAGTGGAAAATTAAAAGTATTTTGTCGTATTTTACAGATGTGCGCTTGGAATTTTTTAAAAACCTTTCCAAAAAGTAAACAAAAATGCAATACCTTGAATTGAATAGGTAGCCGCAGCCGGGTTGCAATTATGATTTTTTCATTCCCTTGTAAATTTTGGTTTGGGGAAAAATCCTTCTGAAGGAAAAATTACTATACAGAAGATACAACGCCGAAACCGTCTTGCTTCCAACCCAAAACTGATAGGGGATGACAGAAATTCGTTCCAGAATACATCATAATACGGCCCTGTAAGAAGCATTAACAATCAAAAACTATTTTATTTGTTCCAAAACATTGTTTCTGAAGAAAATGAAACACTTTTTAAGAGGATTATTGTAAAAAATTCGAGGACTTCTATTATTCGGGGAAAAAATTTTAGTTTTCATATGAAATATCAACTCATTTAGCTTTTCAAAGACAGTTTCTCAAAGATTAGAAAATGCATAAACAATTAGAATTAAAAATATTTTCCATACCTCATCACTTTTAGGAAAAGTTCCAGAACCTTAAAAATTCAAAAAGGTTTCTCATGAAATGAAATGAAATGAATTTTTCTTGTCGGAATGTTTTAAGTGTTTTAATGAAAGCTGCATTTGCAACCAAGGCGTATTAAATAAGGTGTGATTGACAACTCAGATAGGCTCCCTTTTAAGGTCCTATTATTCCAAAAAATATAAGCAAGCGACTCAAAATTCATAAAAAAAATTTTCAATTTGACTTCATAGGATGGCTCTTCGGAGAACAATGTCAAATTCAACCACACTTTGTTGAATACATTTTGTTTGCAACTATGTTCTATATATGTAAATATATAAATAAAAAATTAAGAATGCTAGAACAAAAAATCAAAAAGGTTTCAAACTTTCAGATTTAAAAAAAGGAAACTTTCATTCGAGATATAAACTCCTACTTCTTCAATGAGAGCCAAGTAAAAAATATTTCAGAGTTTTGTTTTTAATTGGAAACATCAAAAAAATTTTAAATATTTTCCTAACCACTTATCAAAGAAAAATTTATTTTTCAGCGAATTTTTCTTGTCAAAAAGTAAACATTTTAAATGTTTTTATGATAGCTTTCGATTAGAAAAAAAATAACTGAAAAATACATATACAATTTTAAAATTCAAATTAAACTTTTTTTTGAAGAATATATGTACATATATTTAAATTGGATTCTATGCAAGAAAAATTACATCAAAAATGTTTAAATCATTGAAAACAAAAACTAAAAAAAGCCCTGAGACCATTACTTACTATTTTGCCAAGTTAAGGATCTCTAGTTCATTTTTTTTTTGTTTTGTAAATGATTAAAAAAAAATTACAAAATGGGGAAAAATACTTATTAAAAAAACTCGAATGCCTAAAATTAAAAAAATTAAAATTTTTCGAGCATCTGAAAATGTTTTTGAAAACAATATTGAAAAAGTTTATCAATATGAATTGATTTTTTTATACATATAAAAACGTTTTAATAAAATAGCAGATCAGATATTCACGAAAACTAGATTTTTCAAATACGTGCCCACTAAATGAGTATTCTTTAATGTATTAAATTAAAAGTTTCCGTCAATTTTCAACACTTCATAATCTTTAAAGGTATTAGAATTATCACAATTATCGCAATTCTGAAATCGTGACTCAACAAAACAAAAACTAAAATAATTTTTAAAGGTTTTTTCATAGAAAATAACTATAAAAACTTTCTTTAATTTTGTATGATTCCTTTTTCTTGAAACCATGATTTTCAAAAAAATGTCTTTGTGTTTACGGAAAATCCCTTTGGAAGAAGTTGTTCTGTAAGAAATTGATATTTAAAAAAATATTGGTTAATTTTGGTAAATTCAATATTTTAACCTTTTGTTTCTTTCTATTTTATCTCGAATCGAACTTTTCAATAATTTCACAGTCAGAAAATGGATATTTCCATCTTCTGATCTTGAATTTCGATAAATGATTATATTGTAATACATATATTTTTACCTTCTCATAATTATAACTTTAATAAACAAGAGCTGCTGTAGAGTATACAGCGACAATTTCGATAAATCCTTAAACAAAAACAAAAAAATGCTTTGGAATGCGGACCTTTCAACAAAAAATGCTATATAAAATGTATGTCTAGTAAGTAAAAAGTAAACCGCTATTGCATATATTAATAAAGGCATAAAATAACAGTAAATATACCAGCAAAGTGTACATGTAAAAGTGTTAGAACAAGGAAGAAATTAGTATATAAAACAATGAAAATATTGAACAAAAACACAATTAATTATAACATTACGAAATATCTACATAAATAATGTATTTAAAAATTAAGAATAGCTACAAAATACTATTTATATGGATTTCTGTAATTTTAGTAAAAGAATATAATTATAACAAAAATTAAGCAAAAGGAAAAAACTGCAAATTTGCAAATAAAAAAGATCCCACAGGGACAACCAAAAATAAAGCGTGTTTTCATATATCCCAGTCCAAAGGGCCTCAGGATGCTATCAAAATTACGCTTTCCTTGATGAAAATGAAACAGATTCATATACCGTTTTTTTTTGTACAATTTATTATTTTATTTAAACTAGGAAATCTCTTAAGCTAAAGTAGACATAAAACTGCTAAATAGTTCTCAAACTGGCACACCCAAGCCGGCCATGTCGTGTTTCAATTCATCGAACAAATCTTGATAATCTTGATGTTCGCGCACCAATAACGCCACTGTGCCACGTTTGACACCCATAGCGGCACCTAAATCAGCACGACTTGGTGTGTAGGCGTACGGTATGCCCTTCTCTTCGCAAACAGCCGGCAAGTGGCACATAATATCAATGGGTGTAACGTCACCAGCGAAGATGCAAATGCTAAAAGTGGATGATTTGAATTATGTATTAGGAAAGTTTTCGTTATGCTATAAGGATTCCGAACGAAATCAGTGTTGAGCATCCCACTTACCCAGTTTCGCCTTTGCGTAGACGAGCCTGCACATCCTTAAGACCATTACGCAGGTAAGTTTTATGTTTCATCGCCTTCTTAATAAGTTTATAGCACTTTTTGGACATTTTCTTCGAGGCCATTGGCTGTGCAATGCTGTTCACATACTTTAGTTTGTCATCATAAGAGTCCTCTTCTTTGACTGTTACATTCGCTACAGATACAACGGAAGTGTCTTGCTCGATAGGTTCTGTCTTGATTTTTCCCATGATTTAAATTAAAATAAGACGAAACTACCAAAAACCCAAAAAACTTGTAAAAATGCTTCATGCAGCTGTACACACGTGAAAAATGTGACACTTGACAGTTGTGGTGACATGTTTGAACGCCGGTATTTTTAATAACAACGCCGTCAAAGTAAGTTGATCGGCAGGTTGCGCAGTAAAATTTTGTTTTGTTGGATTTTGAAATTTGTCTAAATTTATTTCTTAAGCAGCGCTAACTTTTTCAAAACGCTTTTAAAAGGCTGAGCTGAGGCGTTTGCATGTTTTTCAACGTTCTTTTTGAAATGGAAACTTAAGCCCTTATATTTTGCTCAAAAAAAGGACATAGACCCTTTTCGTACGGCAACACCTTTCCCTATTTTCTTCAAGAACCTTCGGTCTGGTTACTCTTTACAATCTTGTCAAAGCAGGGCGCAGGCGAACGACAAAAGTAGAATCACTCGCAGCCAGCAATAAGTGCAGAAAATATATAAAAGAATCGGGGGAATTCAAATCGAAAATTCGCGAGTACCATTGTTATACCGAAAAAGTGTATTGCAATAAAACGTGCTATAAATATTAAACAAAACAAATTGTTTAATAATTGTACAATTAAAGTTTTAGCAAGCGCAAGAAAAAACTAACGACAGAACAAAATGAGTACTGGTGGCATGGGAGAGAAAAGAAAATTGTCGTAAGTAGAGAAATAGGAAGTAGCAGCAAAGGCAGCAGCGACAGCGACTGCAGCTGAGAAATTTTTATAAGAACGAACGTGTTTTGGAAAAAAAAAAACGTATTTTTTGTCAAAAATAAGATATATATGTATATTATAATGGGCGGTGACGCCCTAGCAGCTGCAAACTTCTGACAACGCGGTAGTAACGCAAAAATGAAGGAGAATTTCCAAAGAAATATGCCTTAAAATTGCAGCTGCCATTTGCTGCCGCAGCGACGCCAGCATAGAAGAAATGGCGAAAAAGAGCGGCAACCGAAATGCAATGCGACAGAGAGCAGAGCTGAAGTAGCGAACTTTCTTGAGATATCGACGTCGTCGTCGACGCTGACGTTAATTGATTTTCCATGCGAGTGTGCAGTTCAAAGCGTTTGTTGGCAGAAGCTCACTGCTGACAATCTGGCGCTGACTGACTAGCCAAGTGGGTCTTTAATGGGTGGTCGTTAATCGGGTGGGTAGGCGGTTCTTGTAACCAAAAAAAAATCTGAGCAAATTAGGGAAAAGTAACAAATTCCGTAGGATGCCTTTCCATAACAACAACAACAAAAACTGCGCTGGAATTACTATGCGAAGTTTGCGTTACTTTAGGAGGGCATTGTTGGAAAAGTGTACGAAATTGTATCGAATCAAAAAAAAGGTGAAAAAATGAGAATAGGCTAATAGTTATTATGGATAGCGGATGGCGTGGCACGAGCATATCATTGGGCACAACCTTGGCATTTGTAAAAATAGTAATGTAGGGTGAGAAATGCATGACGTGCCAAAGCAATTAATTTTTATAAGTATGTACTAATTACTATTTCCCTTTTATAGTTGATAACAGCTACTCGCTAACTAATAATTTTTTTCAGCAAACGTGAGACCTGAAGACGCAACTTTGTAAACTATTTTAAATTTATAATTTAGTTTTAAACTTTGTCACAAGTAATTACATATTTCGATTAATTTCAAATTGATTTAATGGACCGCATGAATAAAAACTAAGCAATTGGTTTTTCTTAAAATTTCAAACCTTTTCTTGATTCAATAAAAATAAATTTAAGTAGGTAAAGGGTCTTAAAGTTTCAGAAAAAGCTATTGCTTAATTTTTATTCATTCGCCCCAATGTAAGAGACAATGTTTTGCACCTATCTATATATCTGTGTTCGTATGGAAAAGTAGCTTATGTCGAAAGGTTGGCTTTAGTATAAATCGGCATTCGAAGCATACGATTGCGAATGACTCACTGGCGCTGAGCCGTTGAAGAACTTTTGGCAAATAAACGTGCAAGAAATAGTTCCGGTACTAGCAAGTCAATATTCTTATTAAGTCTCATTAAAAAATTTTTTGTCGTTTAAAGAATAAAAGAATGGCGCATTATACTAAAGTCAGCCTTCCGATATAAGCTACTTTTCCATACGAACACATACATATATAATACGCGAAGGCATTTTTTGTACAGCATAAAGGATCTGCACTGTTCGTTCGATTTGCAAAAATGGGGTGTCAAATTAAAGCGCTTGGCCTGTAGATGTGCAAACTGGATTTATTTTTTCGAAAAGAGATGCCACCTGTTAAATAATTAAACTCAAGTTATTTACTAATCAATGCCTTCAGATCCGCAGCGTCCGTTCGATTTTCAAAAGTGAGGTACGTAATTAAAGGGCTTAGGATGTGGATATTCAAGAAGGTTTTATTTTTTCGAAAAAAGTTACCACCTGTTAAGAAATTAAGCTCAAATTGATTGAAAAGTTAAATTAATTATTAAATATGGGTATCAATCGAAATGGTTTTGAAAATGCTCTAAAACTTAACTACGTATAGGAGGGCTGCCGCATGTTAAAAAAATGTAATTCAATTTTAATTAAAGGAATTTGGTAAGTGAATAAGGTATCGCCATATGGGTGTCATACAAAAGAGGTTTAAGAAGGTAGTAGTTTGAAAATATTTTGAATAGGGATGCCACCTATTTGAGAAGTCTAATTGAATTATTTTTTATATGAAATATTAATGATGGATGTCAGATAAAAGAGCTTCAAGAAATACTTAGTTTTGACAATTTAGAATATTTTTGATGTGTTTCAAAGTTGCCCCAGTTTAAAGGACTAAACTAAAATTATTTAATAATTTAATGAATTAATAACCGATGGTTATTAATGGAAATGGCGTTAAAATCCTTTATTTAAGAACTATATGTAGGAGGACTGCCAAGTGGTTAAAAATAAAATTTCCACTTAATTCATCAATTACATGAAATATTTGTAACAATGTCAGACGAAAAATATTTAAAGAAATTTTAGTTCGAAAATAATTTTTAAGAGGGTTGCCGCCTATTTTGAAAGCGGTATTTCGTTTAATTATACATAAGTTACAGGAAATTTTAAAATATGGTTATCAAAAGAAATTGAAAAAATTAAGCTCAAATTATTTAATAAATTAAATGGTAAGCTCAAATTATTTAATAAGTTGGATGGATTAGAAAAGATTGATATCAATCGAAATGGGTTTGAAAATAATTTATTTCTAAACTGTATTTAGGCGAGTTGCTATGTGCTTAAAAAAAATTAAATTCAACTAAATTCATCAGTTAATTGAAATATGTGTAACAATACTCGGCGAAAGATTTTGGTTTGAAAATGCTTTGAAAGGGGTTGCCACCTGTTTGAAAAGTCGAATTTGTTTTACTTATACAAGAGATACATAAATGAAATATCGAAATATTAGTGTCAAACGAAAGAGTTTTAAGAAAACTATAGGCTGATAATATTTTGAATTAGAGTTGCCATATATTTTTTTTTAAGATCAGCACATCTTCACCGTTATTTCGAATTTCCAAAATGAGAGGTCAAATTAAAGAAATGGGATTCTACATAGATGTGTACAGGTTTTATTTTTTTAAGTTAGAACCTTTTTAGCGGTACAGGGAGATTTGAAATTTGATGAAATGCAAACCGACACCATGCGTGACCTCTCATCACTGACATATGGTTTACATTACACATTAGGTATATTTTTAGAGGTTTTTGAATAGGGTTTCTCCTGTTTAAAAAATTTAATTAAATGTCGGCGTTTTGACGCAATGCGGGTTCACTAGTTGTATTATTGTAAGTCTTTGTTACTACAAAAAATTGGCATAATACGGTATGTCATCATTAGCTCTAATTTTCTTACATATTTGTACTGATTTTATTACTACTTTTCTGTCGATATTCGTGTCTACGCTATCGGCGTTTTGGTATTTGTAAAAATACTAAACTACAAGTTTAGATTAGCGTCTAAACAATTGCAGTATTGTGTTGTCTTATCGCTTATCAGTGCTCGCAACAATTTGCACGAAAGCCGTGCAAATGCCACATAAATACATAGTTCAATAACTATTCCTCAAGCACCACCCTACTTATGGCCTACCTATCCAACTAGTCACCCCGTTTATGGTAAAAAAGCGCACATTAATGTAATATTGTGTGTATGTACTTTGACTAGTCTAATATTTGTTGCAAATTATAATATTGTTCATTACTAAACGGCATTTATTTTCTGCTTATTTCTCCTTAACACATTGAAAAATACATATATTTTTTAAACGTCATGCATATGTGTTGTATGTACATATGCACTTGTCCAAAGTGGCTTGTCCATGGCCTTGAGCAGCACTTTTCAACTCAAAATCCCCATAGTCATGCGACCTTTGATAAAGTGCGATTAGTATAATGCACGCATATACTATGTATAAGAATGTACATTTTTGTACAAGTGTATCATTTATTGCTCCCCATAGGCATTGAAGGGTTGATATGCAGACCCTAAAGAGCAATAAATGAAACTGGGCACAAGAGGTAGAGTTTCCACCTGTTAAGTACGATGAATGAAGGCACTTTGAAGGTGTTTATTTTTAACATTGTTGCTATGGTGATAATATTAACTATCCACACTTTTAAAGGCTGCAGTATTCAACAGCTAATTGAGAAAAAAAAAACTTCTCAAGTCGCTTGTCCTAGGTCAAAGACGTTGGGAAATTTAACTCAAATAGAATACAAACAGGCGAAATCGCAAATGCCACACATCCGCTGCCGCTGCCGCTGGAATGTACTCTTTTCGCATTCCGTTTCCTCTTATTGCTACTACTCTCATCGCACATACCACACACCAACCGCGCCCGTAGTTTCAGTGTCAATGCTATAATAAGATCTTGGGTTAGAGGAGATTACGAGGGCTGCAAAAAGAGGGCGGTGCCAGTGCGGCCATTATCATCAATGCCGTCACCAAGGGCTACGATGCTTTAGCGCTTGTGACTGCCAAAGAAAGAAGAGAAGAAAATTAGAAATTACGATTGTTTTGCTGCTTTTACAGAAGTCGCTGCTGCTGTCGCTGTCATTACAATTATTCTGCAGCAACCTGCATTTTTTGTAACTGCGCGCAGTACAATGCATTTATTAGTCGCAGTGCATTTTCCTTTGCTAGTATATGTATACATTCAAGTCTACTTTTGTTTTATTTTATTAAAATACTCTTACATTCAAGCACGTTGTCGGCTGTTCTTTCCTTTAAGCATATTTGCCTTTTTCCATTTAATTTATGTATTTTTGTATGCAACAAATTCCAAAACATTGCAGGCTTGCAGGCTTGCTGTCTCTACGCGAAAGTGACTCATCGCAGACTTCACTTTTGCCTATTTGACTAAATACATATATATACAGTGAACGTGAAATATCTATTAACCCACTTGGGAGAAAAGAAACTAGCGTCCATGATTATTTTGCAGCACGATCTGTGATCGTTGTTTTTTCATAGCTTTTATTGAGCCTAGATGTACATTCACTGAATATTAGCCTCTCGAGTTCTGTTTTGAAATTTAAGTTGCAATTTTAAAAATCAGCTTATATGTAAATTCAGGGCCGTTTAAATGAAAGTATTGAAATTGGAACTGAAAGAAGAGGTCGCCAAACCTTCAAACAGCTCAGATAGGAAGCAATTAAGGCAGATTCAGTCAATTAGGCACCCGAAGTTTGGTCTAAACTGGTAGCCTAACCGTGTGATGAAAAATATTGGGCTTTGTCCCAATCTTGACAAACAGTGTTTTACATTTGTCCATAGAATTTCCATTTAAATTTTCGTGTGACTGAACAATTAGCCGGAATCATTTTTTTTAATTGGTACAAATGTACCATTACTCATAAGGGCTGTTTTCTTAAGTAACCTTTAACTTTAAAGTTTCCTTTAGATTTAAAGCTTACATTAAAATTTATGGTTGTGTCTAAAGTAAATCATTTTATTATCGGTTTTAAAGCGGTTTACAACCAAGAAACTTACATACATATGTACGTCAAAAACCGATAAAAGTCGCCGTCATCGATTCGCCAACAGTTAGCGAGTGGCGAAACGAACGAACTTAATTAGGTGCACCCAAATATAGCAAGCCTCGAAGTGACGAATCGATGACGGCTGGAAATTCTTTACTTTAGACCTACCTATATAATTTAAATATAATATAAAGAGAGCTTTAAATTAAAGGTTACATGAGAAAACGGCCCTAAGTTAAGTACATATGTAGAATGTGTATGTGTACGTATGCGACTGTAGCTAACTTTCCTCGCCTTGAGGCGCTTTAAGCTGAAATTAGTCGAGAACGCAGAACGTATACATAAACGCAGTCTGTATACGCAGAATTTTGTCGATTACTGGAGCCCTCAGTGTTGCTTACTACACTGTTGCCACTCATCAATGCCTTTTCATAAACTTACCCTTTCAACTACAATTTTTCGTGCTATAATAGATTTTAGCTAAATATAAACTACTTAGTTTTCAACAAAAACCTTATTCAATAGTAAATTTCAAATATTTTAAACATATATTGAATAGGAACTTATATCTTTTTTACCATCTGTAAAACTGACGAAGTGGCAACTATCTAAAGAAGGAGAAATCAGCTGACACGGAAAAATCTAAATTCCGCATATTTCTGCGCTACGGGCTACAACTACAGAAAAATTCTGCGGTGTTCAGTTTTCATTTGCATGGCGCTTTGGTAAGACAGATCGTGTCAGCTGACTCGGGTTTACGTACCGGTAGGTTTACGTTCTTGACTAATTTATTTATTTTTGTTGGATGTTTTTTTTTTACTAATTTTCTGGGCAGCCCATAGAGTGAGTGTGAGTTTATGTGCTCACTGCGTCTTTTTACGCTATAATTAGGCAATATATCAAATGCTTAACGCTGATAAGCGTTGGGAATGCGGCTTTCGTCACTTTTTTCGGAGTAAATTAATTTACTAAAACGAAAACATAATAAAAATTAGACATAATATAAAAACGTTTGAACTTTATTCCAAATCGAATGCATATTTTATGAGACTGAAAGATTCTCTATTGACAGAACTATTTATATTAAGCACAGTCTATCAAGTTAGCATGCTCAAGCACTAACGCCAGTACGTCTCACCACTCGTTTGGCATTTTTGCGGCTTTTGCGGTTAAACGACTTCATGGCCCACAGCTGCCGCATCATCATGTTTACCATGAGAGCTGTTGCTCTGTTGTTGCTTATAGAAAACATTTTTTTGTAAGGATTTTCCTCTTACATGATTTTTTTTATTGCAGTTCTGTATATTTTCGCTTTGTTTACTCTGTATTGTATTTTGATCCATGTTTACATGTGTCTGCAATTATAAGCACATATGTATGTATATGTACATTCATGCGCTTTTCTTTTTGTTTATGCTTTTTGTAAGCAGAAAAGTTATGCTGGAAGTCAAGTACACACCGGCCCTGCTATTCTGTTGAGAACCACAACACATGTGGAAGAATGTTTGCAAATATGTACATATTTGTTTGTATTTGCATAATTGCTTTTTTAAATAAATCGTAGTTGGTTGGTCGTTTAAAAATATGCATATTTTGTGCAAATATTTCCTTTTCCTCGTTAATTGGATACCATTCCATTTAACTCAATTTATTATAAATGCGATTCCCTTGAGCCTTATTTTTATTGTTGTTTTTTGTGATTATATTTTCATGAATTTATATAATTTTTTAATATGATTTTATCCATGTATGTTTTTATTTTCAGTACATCCGGCGATTCGCTTTATCAAATATTAGGACTTCCTAAAACAGCCACGGCTGATGACATTAAGAAGACTTACAGAAAATTAGCACTGAAATACCATCCAGATAAAAATCCAAATAACACCGAAGCCGCCGATAAGGTAAGTTCAGCAAAAATATGAGGTTAAGTTTAACTCTAGCTCATCAGGAAGTTAGTTAAAAATTTATTGCAAGATTTGATTACACACAGGTGAAACATTATAAAAACTTGTAGGAAAAATATTTAACCAGCTAGAAGGTCGTTTTTAAAACCTTTTTTTTGTTTTTGTATAAAGACTTCACTCGAGATCGGCATACGAAACTTTACTTTCTGAATGATTAAAAAGTCCACCCAAACAGTAACGATTTTTTTTACCAGCTGAATTTCAAAAACCTCCAATTCAGCGCATCTTTCTTTGTTTAAAATGGCATGGAGTCATTAAAAAAATACAACTCGCTGAATTAGATAAATATAGCATACATGTATATATTGTCGCTTAAAGTACAAAAGCGCGTATCAACAAACAAAATGCAAAACCGCGTATGTGAGGTTGCATAAATTATTTTTTAGAGTAAAAATATTCGTATTTCAAAATGGTTCTGGCTAGTATATTTCAGGACGAATGGATAAGGATTGAGGCAAGAGCTTGTGTGAGAAATTCCAATTTTTGGCAAAAAATGTCAGTTACGCGGTTTAGCAGAACGACGATACGTGGTTTTGTACTTTAAACGACGATATGTATATATTCAAATTATGAATTGAACTGTTTGCTAAACTAAACCCATCAAACTAGTCAAAAAATACCATTCAGCGCGCTGAATTAGCTGAATCAATGTCCAAAATGGTCAATTCATGCAGCATTCGCAGCATACGATTGCGAAGGACTCACTGGCGCCGAGCTGTTGAAGAACTTTTGGCATATAAACGTGCAAGAAATAGTTCCGATACTACCAAGTTTTACTAAGTCTCATCAAAAAATTCTTTGCCGTTTAAAGAATAAATGGATTATACTAAAACCAAATTCCCGACATAAGCTACAGATATGTATGTATGTATATATAAATTATAAATTAAAATGATTGGTGACAATTCAGCGCGCCGAATTAGCTGAATGTAGTATGCTAAAAACTCCTGACAATTCAATCATTTTTACAAAATAAAATGATTGCTCAACTATGCAAAAAGGCTCGCTAGTTACTTAATTTTGCTTAAATTTACGAAAAGACGTTTAATTATTGCGCTGAATAAACGTTAAAACATTTTATATATTGACTCGTCAAAGTTTTCTTCTATAGGGAAGTAGAAACCTTCAAATTGAATTAGTGCTGTATAAATGTTTTCATCCATTCTGGATTGAAGTCGTTGACTTGAATTGGTGTTAATTTCTCTCTTCAATAAATTGAAGATTTTCATAGTCTAGCATGTCATGTGTATATCTTATTTTGTTAGAGATAGTATTTTTCTGGAGTGAGTCGAAAATACTCAACTTGTAATGTGCTGAATTAAAACGAAATTTCTTTAAACCCAATTTAAAAATAAAAGTAGTTCTAAGAACAAATTTTTTCCCAGTACGCTTAATTGAAACCGATAAAATTTAATCTGCTATAGAAATTTGTTCACTTTAAATGTTGTGTGAAAATAAAATTCCAAGCTGAGTGGAAGCCATTACATTAAAATGCGCTAAATAAACATAGAATTCCGTGAAACTTGCTTCAGCGTTTTATTTTTAGCCAACGAATGAAACTTTTAAGCAATACACTTGCAATACAAATGCGCTGAATTGCGACTGAAACATATCCTATATCAAAAATATTCGAATTTATTTCAAATTTAACTTGTGAGTTAAACAAAAAACAGAAATTTCGAAAAATACGCTGTTACTTACTTTGCTGAATTGCGCTGAATAAATATCAAATAATTTTTCCCGCTGATAAAGTTGAAGAATGAACAAATCAGTGACAGTTATCCAAAAACAATATGAACAGCACTGGAACTAAAATCCATCAAATTTATTACGCTAAATTGCAAATTTAAATAACACGTGTTATACAAAAAAAAAAGACATCGAAAAATTCGCATCCCCTTAGTTTGCTGAAATGGGCTGAATAGATATCAACTAATTTTTTCCGCCTATGTATAAGGTTGAAGAATACACAAATCAGCGGCAGTTTTCCATCACCAATAAATTGCGTTCAATTGCCATTACAGGTTTAAGTAACACGTATTATATAAAAAATATTGGAAGTTATTGCAAACTTAATTTGGTAGTTAAACAAAAGTGTGAAACTCCGTAAAACACGCTTCTATTTACCTTGCTGAATTTCGCTGAATGGATATCAAATAATTTTTTTTTTTCGCTGTAAAAGCTCTTCAACTTGACACAAAACGGTGTCAGTTTTCCAGAAAACAATATTAACATCACTTGAACTATTATCCATCAAATTTGTGGCGCTGAATTGCAGTGGCAAGTTTAAATAACAGTTATTATATAAAAACAAGACAAACCCCATATAATCCCAAGTTAAAAATATCTTTTAGAAAACGTGCAACAAACTTTCACCTAAATTTCAAACTTTTTTCTCGGAAGTGTTAGAATTTTTTTGAGTACACAGTTTTTTAGTCCCTTCAATATTGGTCTGATAATGTGCAAATTTTAAGTGGCTTTTTTTTAATTTGTTGTCTAATTTATTTGTATATGGAAGAAATCCGCAACACCTTTTGTGAAAAAAATCTAAAAAATCAACGGTAAATTTTAGCCACTTGAAACTTGCACATTATCAGACTAAAATTGAAGGGGCTAAAAAACTGTGTACTCAAAAAAA